ACCCTAAAAAACCTTGAACCCTAAACCCTAAACTTCCCAAAAAACCTTAAACCCGAAAACCCAAACCTTGAAAATTTCTTCAGGAGATTGGCCACACCTTGGAGGATCCTTTCAACAGCCCCACGCAGCCTCTAGCCTCAACATTGAAGTTTAGGGCTCAGAGCTTAGGGGGACCTAGTCTCCTATTTCCTCAGGAACGGTTTCTAATCCTCATGATATAGTATGAATTCAAGGAATTATCAGAAGTGCTCGTTTTCTCGGGTTTTCTTGTGAGTGTATATGGGGGCCTTGTGGGGTATTGGTGCGTGTATATGGAAGTTTCCCAAAATTAGAGGTACCGTTTTGGGGGTCCCGGTAAAGAGGACTATAGTATTTTGGCATCTGTATTTGGGTCTCCTATTTAGGGAAACTACCAGATATTGGGTGTCCAATTGGGAAAACTGGCCCCGTTTAACATACAGCGGATATGACCGGAGCTGTAGTGGACAGATCGAAGAAACAAAGTGGCAATAGAACAAACAACCAACAGCTTGGGAAGCGCAGCCAATCTGAGCAAACTTTCAGTACTGGACCTGACGATATGCTAAGTGTTTCTGCGATGCCTTCCCAAAAGACAGCAGAAGACAAGTCATAATGATTAGTTGGCGGGCCTGCCATGGCCACTGAGTCTAAGGTTTAGGGTTTAGGGACGATTCACCCGGCAATCCCCAAACAAAAACATGTAGATGTCGTAGCTGTGGAGTCTTGCAGCAGCGCGGAGCAGCCGGAACCGCATCGGCGAAATTCTTCTGAACCCTCCAAGCGCGTAGCCACAGAAGCTGTGCCGGTTAATGTAAGTCAGGCTCTCTGAAGCATAAATCCATTAGTGGTAGGTAGGAAATGCTGGGTCCCTATAGAATACCTTGTTATAGTCCCCATATCCTAGGTCCTCATTCCCTATATGCCGCCAGAACAGTGCTGTTTTAAAGCTGAGGCCTTTGAATGTGCAAGCCTACTTGGAGCAGCCCTTGGGCTACGAGCCCCTGATGCAAGCCCAGCGCCCTTTTGAAGTGCTGGAGCCAAAGGAGCCAAGGGAGCCCAAAGAGCCGAAGGATCGAAAGGAGGCGAAAGAGCGGAAGGAGCAGAAGGAGCAGAAGGAGCAGAAGGAGAGTTGGGGAGAGTTCGGGAAATTCGCTTGAAGCCCTGTCCTTTTGTGTAGTTGCGCCTTTTAGGTTGTAATACTGGTGCCGGTGCTGATCCTAGCCCCGACTCTGCACCCTACAAGCAGGATGCTCGACCCTACGTCTGAAGTTTAACCACCCAACACTAACCCAGAGGGTCCAAGTACCCAATAATTAGGTACTTGGGTTTTGGGTATTTTTGGGTAAGTATTTGCTTTGTAGGTACTTGGGCCCTTAGGGTAACCCTTTTGGTACAAGGTCCCCAGCCTCAATCCCTAGAGTTTTCCTGAAGCCGAGTCAGGACCCCCCAGAGGCCAACATCCCAACCAGCAACGAGCAGGACAGGCTCAGCTACGTGATGCTTTAGGGTTTCAGGGTTTAGGGCTTATGGGTTTATAGGGTTTAGCGTTGAAGGGTTTAGGGTGTATAGTTTTTAGGGCTTTTGGGAATTTATGGTAGGATTGGAAAAGGAATCTCGGATTTAAGATAGGGCTGTCACCATGGCTTTATTTGTAAGTACACCTATGCCTCCTTAGGCATGTCGGGGAGTGTGAACACTGGGCTTAGGGTTTATGGGGCCTAGCACTCAGATTGTTGGTGTTTCCGCTTTAGAGCTCATGGTTTTAGGTTAAGTATGCAATTTAGGGCTTAGAGTTGTGGGTTTCGAGTTTTCTTGCAAAACTCCTTTGTTGGGGTCTGTGTACGGACCCAACATCATCTGGCACATGCCCACTTAAGCTATACTCACAGCTCACATGGTATTGCTCAAAAAACCCCCTTGTTGGCAGAGCTTCCTGTACGAATGTGACATGGCATGCGACACAGCCTCTCAAGACCCCACCGTACTTCCTAATATCAAATCAGACGACCCCACATGCCCATGCAGGTTTCTCAAGACTTTGCGAAACACCCTCTCCCAGGCCTCCTAAAGGATCCCAAAAGTGGAACCCCCTAAAATGACCCCCATTACTACATTGAGGAAACTAGGGGATTATTGGGAGGGCTATAATCCTCGTAGATCCCTTGGATCCCAAGGGCCCCCTGTTTTGAGAACCCTCACATGGCTGCGAGGACGCTAACGTGACCACTGTGACAGATCAGACAGCGCAGGCGGGTGGCACTGAGGATATACCCACGCCGTGACAATCATGGCTTCTAGATTGGAGTTTCCAAAAATTATGGGTCCCTTTTTACGGGGGTCTGATTAATGAGATGCATGTCATAAAGGCTGGACCCTGTTTTTGGAATCCCCCATTTATCCTTTGCAAAGTAGCTGCCAAACCTACCTGCCAGATTTTCGACTGCGAGGCGAGCATGTAGGAACGGTACTGTTTAAAAATGACAGTAGTCACCTGGAGTTTTGGTTGAATCCTAGTATCTAGCATCCATTGCATGGGGAACGCGGCCTTTTGTTATCATGACAGCTTTGATCGCCGGGTGTGCTACCCCTTGGGTGCTCCCCCCACTCGGTAATATTTATAGTTAGATTTAACCTGAAGTTCCAAGTGCCTAATACTAATATACTTACCCAAAACCTGTATTATAATTACTATTACCCAAATCCCACGTACCTAACTATTGGGTACTTGGACCCTTAGGGTAACCCGTAGAATATAGACTGTTACAGGGTGGGGGCAGTATTCAAGCTACCCCGCTCTTGGCAGCCTTAGCGCAGCCGAGACCTACAGCCAAAGTGCTGACAGCAGGATGAGGTTAGGGGGTTTAGGGTTTAGGGGATACAGAAACCACACCCGAAATAGTAGTTTACATTTGATTCTCCATGATCCCTATAAAATCCCTAGATTATACCCTATATTCCCTCATTCCCTATTCAGGGCCTTCCCCTATGCTAATCGACCCCCTCTTCACTGCAATCGTTCGTTGATTGATTGAATTCGGATCGTCATGCTGAATGTTCCGTGGGAGACGTGGACCTTTCAAATTGAGCCCGTAGTTCCGCTCCCACAGCCCCATGGACTTCACAAGTCAGCAAGGCATTTGGGAAAAGGCTGCAAGGATTGTCAAAACAAATGTCAGTGCAAGTTGCTCAGGCTGTCTAAAATCGTGACGGCACTCAAGTAGAAGATTGGGCTAGCAAGAGAAATTGCGAGCAGTTTGAGTTGCATTGAAGACTCATGAGCAGGCAAGTAAGACAGCATGTCAACAGCAATTGCAGTAAGCGTTGCAGGAACTGAGGACAATGATGGCAATAGTTGCACAGATAGCCGCAATAGCATGTCTCGTCTCGTTCCACTGGTAAGAGAAGACTGGAGTGGTAGCACTACCAAAGGTATTGTGGATGGATGCAATTTTGCGCCATTTAGGGCCCTAAACTATTGTCATTCCAAGGATTTTAGGGACTCCAGGTGGTAGAAGATTTCCTCCATCAACAGTAGTACTCAACAGTAGCACTACCACTATGCTTCGTGTTCTCCATAGGCACGGTGCTACAAGATGCGTGCGGGGCAGATACGGACTAACGTGCTCATGAACATGGTCGAAACTCCCTTACCCAAAGGCTCCATGTAGATATATACTTAGGGTCCGAAGAGGTTCCCATCTACCTGCAGTCCCCCTTAAGTAGATAGAATATGGCTTTGGGTATAATTTTATAAGATCCCCATATGCCCCATATTCTATCTACTTCAGGGGTACTATACTTGAAGGCCCAGGTATTTCACACATAGCTACATGGACCCTTTGGGTTACGTTAACTAGACTAGTGCAGACATTGACCAGTATCCCTCCACCTTTAAGTCTCAACAGCCCTTGATCCCAAGAATACAGAACCCTAAACCCCAAACCCTAATTCCATGACTCCCCGGAAGTCTGCCTTCACAGCAAAAGAAGCCACAGTACACAAGTAGGGCTCTTGGCAAAACAGGACAACGCAGTTAGTAGCCAAGAGCAAACAAGCCCGTGACGCCCAGAGACAAACCTCAACATGCCTTTGCCGCAGACTAGACTGCCAACGCAGTAGACCTTCAAGCTCTCCCCTCGCCCTGAACCCAAAACCCCAACCTTACGAACCCCAAAACCCAATAAGTTAGCCTTCTAACCTCAAGACGCTAAACCCTCAAAGTCGTGATCCATACATGGACATCATGCGTTCAACATGCCACGGCCAAAGACCCATGAGACGCTTGTTCGCACGGGGGGTTAGAGGGTTGTATTTATGTTGTTTGAACAGCCTAGAGCCTCAGCGGGGCCGAGTGGTGATGAGGACGGAAGGCTCCCACATCAGGAGCATGTATTTGGTAGTTTCCCTAAGTAGGGGGAGCCCAAATGTGGACCCCCAAAAAGAAACCCTTAGTTTTGGGAAACCCTTACTTCTCACAGTTATTGGGCAGGATCGTCCGTGCAGTCAGAGTTCAGGGCTGGGTGCGAGCTATATGGGCCATAGGAAAAACTCATTAAAGGGGGGTATATAGGGGGATTATATAGGGGACTACTATAGGGGCTATTAAGGGGGATACTAGGAGTTTAGAAAAGCTTACATGGGCCCTGAATTGTATTTGTAGGGCTCCATAGGGTATCTAAGGACCTCAGGACTAAGGGACCATAGCAGGAGCACATAGTTCCAAGCTCAGATTTTGGGCTTCAAGAAGGTTGTCCTACATGTTTCCCACGAAGTGCCCAGGATCCCGAGGTGGGTTTTGGCATGTTTTTGTGAGGCGTCTCTGTGGTCCATGGAAGTTTAGGTCTTAGAGGCTTCAGGCATTTTGGACTAGTTCCTGGAAGGCGCTCTGGTGTGCTGGATCTTGCCTTTTCTGAGGAATGGAAAAAGGCACAAAGGCATGTAGCTTGTTTCTTCTTGGGACCTAGAGAGATGACGTTTAAGGGTGACAAAATGCGCCGCAGAAAGTACCCAGTTTGCCAGCAAAGTGTCCGCAGCCTTGCAGTTGGCAAGTTCAAGGTTCAGTTAGCCTAGGGTTCTCAGAGAGGCCTTCAGTTCTTGGGACTCCCGCGACTCTAACCCCGAGCACCTGCACTCTGGACTAAGTAGCTCCATGGCTGGCGCAAGACATGGAAATCCAACTGACGTTTCCCGACTCATCAGCCATCGCGATGATGTTGCAGTAAATCCTTTGCCTGACAATCAAGGCCTCCCCCGTACGGAAGACATGATTTTCCCACAGGATTTCAGAGAAATTCCGTTCGATTGAGAGGTCAACTTCTGGACCTAATCCCTTTTCCCTAAACCCTGACACTTTCAGGAAGCGTCGGCGATTCGTGGGTCTCCCAGCGGCGCGCCCGAATACCGTGGAGGCTCTGGTTTGGCTTGCGGCCCAAGTTTCAGGACATAAGGTTCAGCACTGGCGTTAGTTGTCTGGGTAAATCAACATGCACACTTATGCTATGTTTGCCGTTGGGATTCGTTCCTATGACGTTGGGGTTGGCTATCATGGACACCCACCGGCACCTCTAGTAGAGGGTCTGTTTAGGCGCCTTGCCAGCAGAATTATCCCCCGAAAAAAAGGCAGGTGAAGAGTTGAATCCTAAGCCCTAAACCCCAAAACCTAAACCCTTAAACCCTAAACCCCAAAGCCCTAAAACCCTAAACCCTAAAAACCACTAGAATCAGATATGCTAAGCCACAGGTCTTTGCACTTCTGGGCCACTTGAGAGGCAGCCTCTAGCCTCCAGTATAGCCTGAGGTTACATTCACTTTCTGGTTGTAGTAGTTTAGAACCCTGGGGCTCCAAGGACCCAACTCATAGGATTTTTAGGGCCCAAATAGTACAATATTAATTGTATTTGGGCCCTGAAAATCCTATGATTTGGGTCCTTGGACCCTTAGGGGAAGAGGATTGTAAGCTTGTATGGTTCAACCAGCAAGACTCTCACTTCAATGCAAGAGGCGCCCTGGAGCCAACGAACACGGCCGTGTCCATTGCTTACGGATCGCCTTCAGCCGCTCGTGGGCACACGGGAGTTTCCAACCAGTAGCCTCTCCAGATTGAGGATACCTGGACCTATCGTCCTCCCAAGTAGGTAGAATATGGCTTTGGGTACATTATAATAAGATCCCCATGTACCCCGTACTCTATCTACTTAAGGATAACTATACAATGAGGATCTTGCTGGTGGATCTCATTAGGGGCGGCCCGATGGATGGCCCCAGATGAAGACTGCAAGGATGGCTTTACATGGACGAGTCTCTAAAGTGCAGGAGTCCTTGAGGAACCTATCATGTGTGCAAGCTTGAGGGGTGTATAGAAAAGCATTTTTCTGCGAGGGCTCCCACAGTCTGTGAGGCTCCTGACATCACAACACATCCCTGAATCTCAAGCTCTCAGAAGGCAAAATCGGGGGTTCTGAAATTTTCCGTTTTGCATTCCGCATTCCGGCCCCTTTACAATCCCCGTATCTCCCTGCGGTCCCCGACGGGCCCTTGTTTGACAAGCTACCCGATGGGAAGCCCGAAAACCTAAATCGGGCATGTTCACAGGGTTCAGGGCAGAAGGGTACCTCCACCCTTAGAGATATTTGAAATATCACCTTGCTTGGACTGTCTTCCAGAACCAACTGCCCATGCCACATTAGGTTTGCGAGTAATGCTTGCAATCATTCTTGGTGATCCCTATTAGCCCCACACCCTACACCCTAGACCCTACCATGGTGTACTGCTTTGCTCTCTGGGATGAGGCTGGAAGTGCGACAGGAACCTCGATACCTCAAACCTGAAACTGCAGACGCTAACCAGAAACTTACTGGCCGGTTCTATATAATCCCTATATAATACCCATATAGAACAAACATTCCCTTATTCCCTACCAAGAACCAGGGAGTAAAAAGCAAATAATCAGAACGCCGCGGGTGGCTGCTCGACACTTGCTGCCCACGGAGTCTCCCGTCGAGGCGTCGACTTCTCTTTACAGCAATTTCAGCAATTCTCAAAAGAATCCATACCTGGATGTTTCTGAAAATATCTCCTATAGACTCCTTGATGTGGACACCCAGAATGCTAGTACGATTCAACATATCCCTATGATGCCCGCAAAGGAAAACCCGAAACCCTAGATCCAAGTTAATGTAAAGCGAGTCTACTGGACTTTGGTCAGAGAGATTGCGGAAGAGATCAGTAGCCTCGAGCACCATCCGTATGACTTGAGAACATAGGTTACAAGGCTAGAGATGTTATAGATTTCTCTCTCGCAGTGTCGCGCGGGGGAAAAATACTGAAGAACTCAAACAGCAGGACGTGCACAAAGATCATTTGGCAACCCGGTGTCCATTTCATTTTCCACTTNNCCCCCCCCCCCCCCCCCCCCGGGCCCAGACGAGCCCTTGCAAGCGAGTTGGGGTTTGACGTGGATGACATGGACAGCAGAGACCAGGGCTGAGCAGTAGGAAAGGAGAGAATTGGACCCTGTAGTAGTCTTTATTATGCCAGTTTTGTTGGAGGAAGGATCTCAGTAGTTTGGAGCTATATAGTCATAGTAGGACCGCACTTTTATAATAACTGCCCAGATACAATCCCGGGACTTAGCGCAGATTGGACAGAAGATCCCACAACCAAGTGTCCGCAAGTGTGGCCGATCCGTTTGTTGAGAAATGCAATTTTGAGCTATGGGGGGGTCTCTTTTGATCAATACTCTAGATCCTGCGGGACCTTGCATCATAATTTTCAAAAGGCCCTAACCAAGAATCCTACGTTTAGGTTGCTTTCAGGGTCATGCGCGCGTCCTGGTATCGACTGTAGGCTTGCAGCACGGGTGGAAGGAGGCTGAAGCCCTAAGCCACGCGCAACTTGGTCCAGATTCCAGGGCTCCACCACTTATGGTTTAGAGTTTAGGGTTTACCCTAAGGCTCCAAATGGTGGTGAAGCCTTCAAGATCCGACATGCTGAAAAGCCAGAGGGCCTGGAGGGACCCCAAGGGTCATGAAGGGTCCGAGGGCCCATGTGGGGCTTCACTGGCAAGGTCGCAGCATTTAGCATCAGGGCGCTAGGATGTTTGATGATACACATGGATGGTTCCAGTCATTACAGTCCCCCTTAAGTCTTTATAAGTACATGAAAAATGCATTTTCTGGGGATCTATTATAATATCCCAATCATATTTTATTTACTTAAGGGGGACCGTATACAGAACGGTGTCACATTGGAGCCTTCCAAAGCATGGGAGTTACACTCGGCACACAACTGATTCAGCTTGCTTTTGCTGCTATGGACCGTGCTGCGCAGCATGTCTCAGCGCCTCAGCTTGCTTAGTCAGGCGCAGCCTCATGACAGTCAAATACCGCTGGATCGTTCTGAACGCCACAGTGGATCTGTGACATGTCCTTAGCATGATGACATTGGGACTTTTGAGGATGCATGATGCTTGTAAAGTCATAAGAAACATATAAACGGATGGTTTGTGCAAGCAAGAAGCCGACTCATCCGGCCGATGGCCCCAACGAAAGACTCAGCGGCCAACAAGTGATAAGTTCCTGGGTTGATGAGGGTGGTGAGGGCATCATCGAGCGCATGCTGAAGATGATGGTGTTTTGGTAAAACTGACCAGCAAGTTCGGTTCAGTGTTCTACCTTTTGTTGCTGCGCTTCGCTTGCGCAAATTGGCGTACGACAGTAGATGTAGCATACCATCTCGGTGCATGAGCTGGGCCTCTGCTTGCGTCATCACTACACTACACTGATCAAAGTGCCGAAGCAAGGCACAATAGGACCAGATGGTTGTAGTAACCAGCTTGTCAAGCTCCGTGCAAGCACCACCCAAACGCTCGACTCTAGCAACGCAGCGGCTCGCCAGCCAGAACGACACTCGTTTCCCGTTAATAGCTTTGCTTGCCAGACACGGGAACATACCCCTGTGCTTGCGGTTCAAACGAGATGGGGTGAATCGGGGCTGTGTGGCCTGAAGGTGCTCCTCTCTAAGCCAAACCTTGAACCTAGCATAAGCCGCACGCAACGTGGTTCCAAGCGCGGATTCGTAGATACCAGTTGGAAAGTTGCAAAATTCGCCGGATTCTGCTAGATAGGTGAGCACACTGCCGTTGAGAACCTTAGAGGTTCCTAACAGTTGGGAATGCGCTGTATCGTGCACAAAGCGAGAGATGTCCACGCCAAAAAGCATGGGCAGCGGAAGTTCTTCCAGAGCCTTGGAGTCCATGTATTGTTCACTCGAGATCCTGCCCACTGTTCTGTGCAAGGAGGTAGGCCGAAAATCAAACATGGTCCATCTGATATCATCAGCTTTCTTGCTAGCCTTGCATCTGCTGCAGAACTCATCCGAGATGCGTTGGTAATGGTGGATTTTGTACTTTTCCTTGGGGCAGCAATTGTGAAATCTTGATATTCAATAAATGGCTGTGTGTAAATTGGGTGACCCCAGTATCGACCCCGAAGTCCTAAACATAATCCTAGGGGAGCCACGAAAATACATGTACCCATAATTTTGTGAACCCACCTTCCCCACCACCCTGTAGGGGAAGTCATCTCAACGGCACAAATCCAATAAATTCACATTATGGGGGCTAGCCCTTCCTAACTATGTAGGAACACTTGCTTATCTTTATGTAAATATATGTTGTAAAATGTAATGAACCTGGAATACATTCCCCACATTCCCGAGATGTTGGAAAGAAATTGATGTAATGTAACCACCCAGAATAATTCGAAGCTAAGCAACATCCCCAAGCCTTAGCTAAGCCTGCCCAGCAACATTCAGCCATTTGAGGTCTCCACGCACGCCTGCAAAGATGAAGCGAAAGCCTGCTGCCTGCCACGGATGCCCAGCAGCTGGGTCTGCCATATGCTGTAGCATAGGCAGCAAGTGCTCAAGGATGTCATTATAGGTGTGCCCGCACGCGCAGTACTCTGAGTAGACTGCTGTCAAGAAAGTTTGAAGCATGGCATCGTTCTCGTATGAAAGGTCACACCCCCAACCAACGATTGATACTGCCCCTGGCTCGGAATTCCGGAACGCCTGGACATCGTCGCCATACAAGTTTAGTGGCAATAACCCAGAGAAATCTTCGGGAGGAATTGTGTCATCTTTGAACCAGCTGCAGTTCTCTTTGGCATTCAGCCAGAATCGTCTAGCCCCCTCCCTGCCAGCATTCCCCAGAAAAATTGACTCAAATACGTCCTGTCCTTCTTTCCAGACAGCTGTTGCCCATGAAACAGGGTCAAGGATTGGTAGGGCAGTGGTGTAGATCTCCGATGTACTTGGATCGTACATTCGCACGCTTGCAGAGCTGATTCGAACTCCAACACATTTGCCATACTTCTTTATGGCCCGTTGCAAATCACGCTCAGCGTTCTGGGGATGTTTGCCGGCAGCACCAAGCTTCGATAACTTTCCAACAAGATCGTGCTTCGGAACTTGGCCTCCCACAGAAGTACACCATGTCATAGCGCTGGCTGCTAGCGATTGCACCTCATGAAGATATGCAGAAAATGAAACATTCTAGCTAGAGGGTTGCAAATTGAGAGGTTCAGAACCTGGGTTCATATACGGAAACAAAAGTATATAGGAAAACCATTTAGTATACTAACAACCATTCATAAAATTTCACACGGCTATAGGGCATGAACTGTGTATAGGTCAAACGTAGGGCTATTGGGGGTTATAATTGCATGATCCGAAATTTAAAAACTCAAGAGGCGTTGCTTGCGCTGCTTTGTCCGGAAGCATAGTTGCACACCAACCGTTCGCTGAACTCAGCAGGGTCCTGGCATGAGAGTGTTTACACTACATGTAGTTAACTATGTACATGCTACACTTGTCACAGAGAGACTCCCTTCTATAGATTGCATGAAGTACTGTTAAAAGTCCTTGTCTTCGTTCGCCCTTTGTTCTACCAAATGGGTTTCCGCAGTCACGAATCGAAGACATTGCCGTTTCTGCTCATGAGGCACTTCGCTATCTGCAACTGGCAGCGCCGGCGCCGGAACTGCCCGTTTCTTGGCATCGGCTTTGGCGATGTTTTGCGCACGTCCTGCATTGAACGCAATTGTAAGCGCCTAACATTGCATAGCGCAATCATCAGCCACCACAGCCCATGCATTGCACCGGAAACTATTTTTGGAGGAGTGACGCGCTTCCCCTTAGTGCTCTGCAGCAGCCATCAAGAATTAAGCGCAAATGAAGTTTGTAGTTCAAACTCCATGCACATCTTATGAGATCATCGCGCTGCACATGACATGATCTGTCAGGCTACAGTGTGCTGTGCGCACACCCCAACATTTCAGTCAAGCCAAGGTGTAGGGTGTATATGCGAGTCAAGTGTTCATCAGCGGATGACCCCTTTACCCAATTGCCAGCAGGATTGGTATGTTCAGCAATCCCGTGATGGCACCCCAAAAAGCCAAGCCCCAGCAGAAGCGCTTCCGCTGAGGCTGGCTGCTGCGCTGCTCGCGCTCACTCATCCTCCTCTTCCTGCTCTTCATCTCCCTCAGTGGCCTGCGGCAGTGACTTTGGGTTCTTATATAGCTTAGATTTGGTTGGGAATTCGAGTTCATCAAAAGGGTTCTCAGGGATTGCGGGGATGTAGGGAAGGGTTCGGGGTGTGCATTTTGAGAAGATATTTACGACCTTGTGTGTGGAAGCAGGGGACCTTGCTTATGTTTGCGGATGCGCATACAGAAAAGGGTTATAATATAGACATGGAGTGTGATTTGCCCCAGTAGTGTTAACTGTACTATAGTAATAGAAGTACATATGGGGTAGAAGTGATTATATGAAGGTCCTCCTATATTCCTATTATGCCACTACTACAGGGCAGGAAGTCCTCCCAGCGTTAGTTGTTGAAAACTGGTTTATGGGGGTACACAGGCATAATTGATTGCAAGCTAGCTTCAGGGTTTGGGATCCTACAGGGCGGTGACCCCAGTTACATAGCATGCCTATAACTCATATAGGACTTATAAAACTATACTTATACCTATGATACATTATACGATATACATATAAATATGTAACCCAGCGTGGGCCCCACCCTGTAGATTAAAGCTGGCGAAGATTTTGGCATCTACATCGGGTAGGGTTTCTGGAGATGTGTTCGGGCTGGCCGGGGTAAGGCTACACTTCATGGGGTCGAGTGATTTGGACGCACATGGTTGAAACTCATCCAGTGGTTTTTTCATTGTGCGCCCAAGAAAAGTTCATATAAGCTATAGGCCCTTTCCCACGTATAGCACGAATTCAATTTGAACTTTCTCTTCTGTTGCTGAAACGCGAAAGCCCAGACAAGAACACTTTAGGTAGTTGTTTTTTTGGGGAGACCCTCTCAGGTATTCAACCCGCAGCCTTCCATTTCTATAAAAACAGACCCATACTTTAACACCTACCCGCGCACATCATACAGAAGCCTACTCCGTGGACAGGACTGTAATGGGATTTCTGTGGAAATGGTTCGGGGTTTTATGGGGGCTGTATACTCTACACAAGGTTTCCTTATAAATGTGCCTGTTGCAGGTTATAAGGCTAGCGAAATAGAAGCAGCTCAAAGTTCTCAAGCCACACAGAAACTCGCCTTGGCTTTCTTTTGCTTTGGGCAATTGCGCAAAGCTGCTGCACGATCTTCCGCAAACCAAGAAAGTCGCTCCTCTGCTAGCCTTGACGCAGCCATAAGCTGGGCTGGCGAGGCATCCTCCTGCACGCCGTGCAGGTTTTATAGACATGTTGGGGTGGGACAATTGCAAAACTGCAGCTCTCAAGACATATACGTGTTGGATGGGTAAAACCAAGACAGCCTGCACACCCAAGGTCTGCAGACGATTGAAGATCGACTCCATCTCCTCCGCATGGGTGCTGATGGTGGCTCCTGGGCCGAGAAATAAGAAGCAATTATGCAGCCTGTACGACTGGCAATTGTCACACGTCTTGTAGGGATTTCTTCAGAAAAGGCGCTGAGCTTCTCTTGGTGCTTTACAGATGCTAGGCGAATCACTAGCATCTTTGCTTCACCCATGCACTTGATAAGCTTGGCCGACGCCCAGGAACTGGCAGCCTTTGCATCCTCCGTAGGCATCATATCCCTTAGGTTAGGAAGGCCCTTACAGAAAATGTGAAACAACTTTGATTGGCCACCTACGTGTGCATCTATGTTGCTGTTGAGATTCGGCTTCTTCGTTTTCTTCGGGAAGACAGGATCCGATCCTCTGTCCTTTTTCCCTTTGCCCTTGCCTTTCCCCTTTCCCACAAGAACTGCAGGGTCCGAGGAACTTCCCCCAGCCATGCCCAAGCAACCCACTCCGGCTGCAGCGTCAGCAGAACCAGCTGCATTGAGATAACCAGGCGCACAAAACGTGTTGGTGCCCATGTGCTGCAATAGACCACCGCCTGTGATATCCCTGGCCGCCTTGCATTTCAGGAAACGTGCTTCTACATGCAGACCACGCAGATGGCAACAACCCAAGAGCCCCTGGCCTGCGACCCAAGCGCAATGTTGTTATCCAAGCTAATGGAAAGTTTGTCGGAGGTCACCTGGGATTTTTCGGAGAATGGGATTTGTTTGGGTATGCATGAAAGCAAAAAAGTGAGCTACAGAGCACAGGCATATTTGGGGCAACCCAGTCACCTGCTCCTCGATGTGGGCCATATCTGTCATCACCTTTTGTAGGCTGCACATAAATGCTGAAAGAACCCCACCTCCATGCAGCTAGGGCGCATAGTACAGAGTTGCCTCACTGTCGTTGGGCAAGTCCGGGTGTGGTTTGCAAAGTCCTGAAGAAATTTTGGACTCGATGATGGCATCCACAATCGCGGGGTTGGTGTGCAGCTGCACAAGCTGCGCACGTGTGCGCCAGCCTTGGATTGTTGAATAAGGAGACTTATAGCTAGCTAGTTGGGCATGCAAACTTCAAGAACAATCATGCAGTGCAAGTGCCCATTGCATGGTGGCCCCGAGTCAAGTCCTCTCGAGAGCGCTCCTGGTGCACCTGCAACCTTGAAGCACACCCATTTTTACAAAACTGTATGTGCAAATTGTCACATCGTGGCAAACACAGGAACTTACGCAGGACACAGACAAGCCACCTTCCAAAATCCTTTCCAGCCTCCATCCATTTGTAAAACAGCTGCGTCTTGGCGCTGCGACAATTGGATTTCACAGCACGCTGCCAGAGGCTGGACAGCTCGGGCGACACGGCGCTCGTCTCATTGGTGATTTCCCTGCAGACCGGAACGAACATGACACTCGGAAGCTACATTGCATGACCTTACCATTCAGGTTGCCTCTTGAAATTTGCATACCACTTCTGTCTTTCCAGGTAGTTCTCTGGCCAGCTGGCATCACCAGCCTTAGAGTAGTGCAATACCACAGTGTTTTTTGGCATGTGCCTGAAGGCTCCGATTTGGGGCATTCTGGGGGAAGGTTTGGGCTTTGGATGGGGGCTATAGGGGTTTACGATCTCGCTATGAGGGTCCAAGAGGGTTATAGGGTATAGCATGCGCAGACATGTGGAGAAAGCATAAACAAAGTCAAGGGGCACCATCTCCAACAATAGCGATCTTATCCACTGCATTGTTGATCTTCGCATGCTCGTCCTTGTCTTTGATGGGCTGGGAGGCCTTAGCCTTCTTCAAAGGAGCATCACTAATGTCGCTGCTAGCGCTGCCTGGGACCAGGAACTGCTCAGGCACAGCCTTCAGCACGCTTTTGCAAGCAGCTGGCGGGGCTCCCGATGCTAATCCTGCTGCCGGCACTGGGGCGGCAACCTCGGCAGCTGGCTTTGGACACGCATTTGCCGGAGGCGGCGCAAGGGGAACGGATTTGGGGAGCGCAAGGGCCAAAGGAGGGGGCGCAGGGGTCTCGGCTGGGAGCTTGGGGAGCAATGGCTGCTTGCACAGCGCAATCGGCCAGGCATTCTCGGCAAGCTTGGGCTCACTGTTCTTGGGAGGGGGCGGCATCAACAAAGTAACCTTTGCCATTGCAGATTTTGCAACAGCTAAGGGAACCATCGCATTCGGTGGCACGCCTTCTCCAGGACCGCTGGCTGCAGCAGTCTTTGCTTTGACACGGCGTGCGTCCAAGATTTCACGGGCCTTGCGGGCAGCTTCCTGCATGGCATCACTCTGCCGAAGACCCAGCATGCTACCCTCAGTAGGCACAGTTAGTTGGGCTTGCGCGCTCCATCTTGATGCCTGCAGTCCCTGTGCTCCCTACATAATCCAAAGAGTTCGTAGTCATCTGCCGCGTGTGTGGCGGAGGGGTATGCATCCTGACATCACCAGAGATCCGCTAGACCAAGCCCAACCGCATGCACATATGAGCAGGACAGAAGTGCTGCTGCGGCGCTCGGCCACTCCCAGCTCCGACAACGATCCTGTGCTGCGCGGCGTCGCTGTGGAGCCCGAGGCAGGAGAAGGCTTCCCTTCAGCCTGCAGTATTATATAGTTGCATCGAGGGAAGAACCATGAAGCATGGGTAGCATGTTCTATGTAGTGTGAACCTGGAAAACCCAAATGTGATGTTGTATGGGGTTTATAGGGTTCAGGGTTATAGGGCGCAGGGTTTATAAAGTTCATGGGGCTTAGGGGTCATCAATGCCTTGATGAGCGATGACACAGAAGCACTTCGGACAACACCACCAGTCGGGGGTGGAGTAGATGATTGCTCCTCCTTCGAGCAGGCCTCAATGTCTTTGCAGGGCTTTAGGGGAATCTGCACACTTTTCCAAGGAGAACTTGAATTGAAAGTTGTATCTTGTGTAAGTCAGTTGTGCCGGG